AAAATTTTTCCCGAATATATCTTTTATGGATAAATTAAATTTAATGTTTCATTGAAATTGAATTAAGCTTGTGTAAGTTGAAAGTATTAATTCATGACATTTTTAACAATGCAAGCGAGTAGAGAAGATACTTTTGTCTCCACTTTGTTACACTATTATTGGGCAAACGTCACGCTGTGCCTGTTGCCAGTGCGAAGGTGCGCGACGACCCAGCGTCGGCTGCGCGGGGCGGCGCGACGCGACGCGACGCGCTTTCATTGACGCGGCGTTTCTCCGGTACAGTCTCGTAGCAGCTTCGCGATCGTTAGGACGTAATCGGCCGCTGTCCGACCGCGCTTCTCCGAGTCACGAACGGTTCGCCACCGCATTTTGCGTCCGGCCAGGTGCGGTCTTCCGCGTTCGCGTGGTACGATCGTAATTTCTCTGCGTCGGAGAGCAGCAGAAGCGATTGGACGCCAGGGAGCGCCGGCTCTTCCGGTAAGTTGCTCGATTTGCAATAATTTGAAGCTGGGCGAAGTTGGGCGAAGGGTGAATCGAGGGAGAACGGAGAGTTGTGATAATGGATCGGTGAATGCGCGGTGCAATATTGCGTGAGCGAGCGATGTGATTCTTTATATCTTTATTTGAAATTCATTGAGCGTTATTTTTCTCCGCGAAATCTCGAAATTTTAGCGTTGAATACTATGTTTGAAATTTTTACAGCAAATTTACATTTTGTTTGAAGTTCACTGAATAAAGCATGCGATTTAAAATTCTATTAGTCTCATCTGAAGTTGGTCGAGAAATAAGACGAATATTAGTAAAAAATTTGATAATGTTCACACGGAGAGAACAATTTTGTTGAAGTGAATTAAAAATTTAGCTAGATCTGAAAATGATTTTGTTGGATTATCAAAATAATTGTGTAGAAAACTCAATTATGATGAGCAACGCTGCGAGAAATGACATTCTAACAATCAGTTTGAGTATTACTTTGATAATAATTCAACAAAATTATATTCAGATCTACATTTAGCTAAATTTTTAGATACTACAACAAATTCGTCCTTTCTGTGCATTTGTTGATCGATGCAAATTTGTTATTCTGTTCTTTTAATTATTTGAAATATTAAAAGAACCTATTCACGTATTTAGATATGAGTTTTATTTAAAAAAATGTTTTATTAAATTATTTTGTTTAAAAAGTTTATTATATTTTTAATAGCACCAAGCGTTATTACTGAAATTCTATAATGATTGGAAGTAAGAGTAATTAGACGAGGGTGGGAATTTCCGATTTATAATTAAATTCGCTCACGCCTTCTCGCTTCGCCATAATATGTATATTAAAACGCATTAAATAACGAACCCCACGATTACTTTCTTTGTATAAGTCTCGTAAGGCTTTTATTGAGATTACAATGTCGACTGAAGTACAATGAAATGAAAAACAGCGTGAATTTATACGCTGATTTTATGGAAATTCGCACGACTGCTTGAATGTTAAAGAGCAAACTTCAATTAGCGCGATGTTACTCGCCGGCCGGTTAGATTTTCTATCGATTGAAGTCAGAGAACGCAATTGTGATCGAAGGGGAAAGAATAAGATCGTCGTTATTATCGACGAGAGTTGCAAGTATAGTGGTGAATAGCACGTCAGGATGTGCGAAAATATCATCATATTAGACTTGATCGAGGAAAGCGTTTCCGACTTGTGTGCTGAACTTACTTTCATAAGCGACACCATTTCATAATTTTTTCTCTTTGAATATGGACGAAGAAGAAAGTGACCAATATTCTATAATATTTAAAAATTAAATGACATTTTTTAATATAAATACTATGCAGAGAGAATAATTTTGCTGAAGTGTCTAAAAATGTAATTAGATTCAGATCTGAAAAAAATTTTGTTGAATCATCAAATGATTATATAGAATCTTCAAGCATTAGGAGTAATGTTGCAAAAAGTTTTGACATTCTAACAACTAGCTTGAGTGTCCTATATAATCATTTTGATGGTCTAACAAAGTTATCTTAGATCTAAATCTTGCTACACTTAGACACTTCAGCAATATCAATCTCTTTCTCTAATATTAAAAAACGTACATACACGGAAAGAATTTTCTCTGAAAATTTACCCTGAAAATATGGTAGTTGTGATACAATATTTTAAAGATTTTTACTATGCACTTCAATAAAATTAATCAAACTTATTTTATTGCAGCTTTATTAATGAATGAGAGAGATTTACATAAAATTCTTCGAAATATTATGTTGTCCCACAAATACCATATTTTTAGGATAAACTCTAAGAAAACAATTCTTTCCATGCAGTAAATTTTTAGATATTTTAACAAAATCGTTTTTTCCGTATATTATATTGCAGATAGAACTCAAAGCCACATTGCCGAATTCTTATAATTATTTTATAATTTAAATGAAATTTGTATTTATAAAAATCTTTTAAATTAAATGACAATATTATTTTTATTATTACATTATTTTTATTATTACAAAACTTTCTCGATTATCAGATGTTAAATACTCAACTGACTATGTCAATTCAATTGAATGGATAAGTATTTTAATTTTAAATTTTAATGAAACCATGAAGATTACTCTCGCGTTTATAACTTTTAAATGAGCGTGTAGAAATTTTAATATCAGTTTCTGATTTGCTAGTTTTTGTTTTTACGTGGGTGTAAATTTTAAGCGAAAGCGTGATTGACTCGCGGTGGGCGTAGGTTCACAAAATCGGAGCACTCTCGCTTAGAGCTGCGACAGTCGGTCGGCGATTGTCTCTCGAGGTCTCAGGGATATCTATCCTTGGACGAGAGAATCGAGGCTGATGGTGCTCGTGAGATATACTGCGTTATCGATGCACGTGATTTGTCAGTCGCTCCGAGGTCGACGTGACGTCGATCATGCAGAGGTTTCAGATCGTGCTGTACAGAGCCGTTTTCTAATATCCGTTTCTACAGAGGCGACCCTAATGCGAAGCCTTTCTCCGCGAATCCTGAAAAACGCAAGAATCGCAGTTTGAAATCGAAACTCAATGTCCTAGACTGAATTTCGTATACATTCTGCATATATAATTACAGTACTGAGAAAAATGTTTGGTTGGATTAATTGGACGAATTAGAACTTTCTAATTAACTATTTACTAAATCTACTAAATTCTAGTTGAGGTACATCCGGATTAATAAAATCGGAATCTTCTGATTTATTCATTTTTAATAATTTTTTTCAATGAGACAATTATAGAATTCCACGTATTTACTTTATTCGAATAATTGACTCGACAAATAACACATCATTAGTTGAATAATATTTCAAATATTAAAATAGTTTGAAATTTTGCAAATTATATAATTTAATTAGTTGATTTATTTTGATTTTATAGATAAAAATGTTGCTTTCTATTTCATTTTTTTAAGATATTTAAAATTTACAGGTTTTTTTCTAAAAAGTTATTTTTGAAAGATCTTTAACGGTTATAAGAACGCGATGTGTAACTCCTGGTTGTCACCGTTAGGTTCACTCGCGTGTGACCTTTGACCTAAAAAAGTACATGCTCGACCGATCTCTACCCTCATTGTTTGCCCGTTGTATATTAATTTGCTCGGAGAAGGTCAAAAAAGATTGTCCGAATGTTGCCTTTCACTGAAGAATCAATGTTAATCAATTAATTACGCTTAACTCAATTTCTGTTCAATTAGATGGTAGGAATATAACGCCAACTTTAATTGGGGATAAGGAATCATATTAATTTAGTGTTAATTGAACTAATATTTTAATTAATTAATTAATGGAACATTATCATCGATTAAAAAGTAATGATTGGAAATTTAATGCGAATTTATCATTTTAATAGCAAATTATTTATTATTAAAACATTTTCTGTTATAGCTTATCGTAACCGAACTATATAATGTATACTGGAAAAAGTTTCGTTGTATTAATTGTAATTCTGATAAATTCAACCAGAAAAGTATAGTTGGACATTTACTCCTATAATTAAATCTATCAAATATTCTGATCGACATAATCAGAAATTAAATTATAGTAATCAGAGATTTAATTCATTGAACTGAATTCATTTTGTTGAAACAATCAAAACATTTTTCCCAGTGTAGATTACAGTAAATTAACGTTTATGTGTGCGATAATTATGAATGAAATTAATTGCAACAAATTCCCTGGATTCTGTACATCTAATGCATTTGCACAGAAAATTAATTGCTCTATATGCGAGATTATTTTTATTTTCTTTGAAGTTTCTGAAGCACGTGGCGCTTTAACGAAACAAACTGCGACGCAGTAATCATTTTTATCGAATGTCATAACTAGCCAGATTCATTCACCCCGTAATAATGAATGCCCTTTCGCGAAAGGTTGCGTGGTTGGGTCAGAGAGATAAAATTCAGCCGCGTATTATTAGCTGCACTATTATGCCTCGCGATATCGCGTTAATTATCAAGATGCCTCGTCTTTGTCCATCGCGATCGATCGTTCGGTAATTCCTTGACCTTCAACAAACTCACCCTGGAGGGACTTTACACAGGGTTGTCGTATAGAAAAGAAAAAGCGATGTTTTTATAATATTTGCGTCCTCGACCCTTCGCCGCAAGATTCAATCGATCGACGCGTGCAATGTATTTATAAACGTGTTCCTGAATGAAATTGAGGAAATACGCCGCTCGGTTATATTATGTAGGTGCATACATGCGCCCACGTCTATTCAAAACTATTTTTTCCTAAAAAATATGAAATTATGTCACCTTATATCATTTTATATTTTTATGGATGTTGTTCTCTTTTTAAAACATATATAAATTAATTAAAATAAAAAAAAACATAGCATCGCATAAATCAGTCTCTGAATAAAATACCTACTCAGAAAATCTCATTAAAGATGTACACATTCATTTCAAGATATGAAAATATTAATTAATTATATCAATAATACGTATTAATTTTTATTGTATAATATCATCAAATTAGAAATTCATATAGAATATTCATATCTTTGTAATTCTACTTCTACGAGAAAAATGTATTTAGTAAAGTAAATAGTTTTAAAGGATTTGAAAGATACGATTTAAATCGATTATTCCTTTAATAAATGACGCCATCGCGAGCTTGCATAATTTTCTTCAGAACATCATCTCGTCCACGTGACTATATCTTCTTCGCAATCAATTATTACGATATATTGTGTCTCTCGTTTTACCATTGGGAAAAATCCTCGCAGAGAAGAATCGTATCGTTTTATCTTCGCGTTTCTGTCACATCGCGAAACAGAGTCTTGAATACACTGAAAAAAAATGATGTAGCAACAGCATTATCTTAATTGAAAATAATTTCGTTAATTAAATGACACCATTAATGAAAAAAATACTTACGCTCTTATCTTAATAAAATTTTATTTGTTTCATTAATATTGTTGTTATATAAATCAACAAGATTATTTTCAATTAAAATAATAATGCTATTGA